GCTGTGCGTGGCAGCGGCTTTTCTGAGGGAGCGAATGGGGAGGGTGAGCATGGGGTTCAGTAACTATCCTCTTCTTCGGGTGCTTGCTCATGTCTATTCCAATATAGGCGTGCGCCCATTGCGTGCATTGTCGCCGGAAGACTTTCCTCCTAGTGGTATCAGTCGGGTCAGCTCTGGTGCCCCTGGAGTGGCGCCTCCATGGTGCGGTATCACCTTGGTTACGTACTCCAGCTTCTGGAAGGCGGCTGAGATTTCTCTGCTCTGGCTGAAAACGCGTCAGGCGGGTGAGTGGCGTGGAGCTGCGCCCGTCAGCAGTGCCCTCCCTTTGCCAGCCTTCCCTGTACTCCAGGGCTGCAGCAGTGCCACAGACCCAGATCCCAGCAGGCAATTCTGAAATGGAGATTTTTTTTCTTCCTGGTATGCCTGGCGAGAATTCCCTTCACCTGGAGCACTGCCGTCCACCCCGGAGGTGGCTGCATTTCAGCTCCCACACCTCTGTGGTCAGCACAGGTAGCTGAAGCTCTTGCAGGAGCTGAGGGAAGCGCTGGAGCAATGTAAAATTGGAGAGCGTAGAATGGCAAATGGCCTCTCAGTTTGCTGAAGACCATGTCTCCGCTTCCCAAATGTGCAGGGGAGGATGGAGTCTCAGATCAGCTCTGCCCCGTGCCCCTGTGCCAGTCGCTTCCAGAGCCCGATGGCTCTGAGCGTGCCAGGGCTGGAGCAGGGGTTTGGGCTGCCCAGCACATGGAAGAGAGGAGCCCAGCTAGCGCCACGCCCATAGCTGCTGTGCAGGTTTCGCTGTATTTTGGGCTGTATAAGTAGGGGCATTGCCAGCAGATTGAGGGACGTGATCGTTCCCCCCTATTCGGCATTGGTGAGGCCTCATCTGGAGAGCTGTGTCCAGTTTTGGGCCCCACACTACAAGAAGGATGTGGAAAAATTGGAAAGAGTCCAGCGGAGGGCAACAAAAATGATTAGCAGGGGGTTGGACTAGATGACCTCCTGAGGTCCCTTCCAACCCTGATATTCTATGATTCTGTGATTGCCAGGAAGCGCTCTGGGCCTCCTGTTCGCCCTGTGCGTGTCAGTAAAGATGATACCTGTGCACAGAAGTGTCCGCCTGGGGCTGCATCTGGCCTCTCCCCCCCCCCACCCATAGGAAGAAAGCTGCTGTGGAGCCGGTGAGCTCCCCCCAGCCTGCCTTGGCCAGCGCTGAGCAGGGTGTGAGCGTGTTTGTGTGGACACCGTGCTGGGGAATGGGGCCAGGGTTACAAGCCCCAGGGACTGAAACTCTTTCCGTCCCCGGAACAGGCACCGCCTGAGCAGCCGAGGGTCAGGCTCCTGCCCCTTCAGCCCTGACCGCCAGGAGAGGGGTGGAGGGGGGAGCTCCGGCTGCAAGGCCCCTCTGCTGAGGTTGGTAACGAGGGGGCAATGGGGACACCTGTCGGCTGGGGACTGAGACCTGCCAAGAGTTCACGGGACACCTGCCCAATGCCAGCAACTCAGTTAGTCAGCCTGGGTCAGAGATCTCCCCCTGGGAGAGCTGGGCTCTAGCCCCCATCTCCTCTAGGGACAGCCTGACCTGCTGTCCCCCACTCCCTGAGCTATTGGCTTTGCAGAGCTGGATTCCTGCGAACTCCGTCTCGAGTGGGCGTTGCATTGGGGCACCTCTCGCAGTACGCCAGGGCCTGGTACGGGCTCGTCAGTACTGGAGCCCTGTCTTTTTGGTGTTCTTGGAAACCTGCTGGTTGAGGTGTCTCGCTTCCCCTGTCCCGAGGGAGGGTGCATAGCCCTAGTGCCAGGCCACGGGTGGTGTGAAGTGAAACTGGGAGCATCTTCCCATGCGAGGCGCTTTTATTCCCGCACAGAAGCGGGCCTGGAGGTGAATACCGGCTCTGCTCCCTCTCCTGCACCTTTCCCGCGCCGCATCCTGTTCCATGTGGGGCGCAGAGGGCTGGGTCCCTGGCTCCCGTGAGCCCCGTTCGGAGCTGGGAGCTTTGTTGCCATTACGGTTGCTAATTTCATGCTTAGTTTTTCAACTCCAGCTGAGGAGATGGGATGCTAGTCCGCCCTCCTGGAGGTCAGGTGCCAATCACTGCCTGGGCTCCTCTCCCAGCAGCGTCTATAATATTGAATCCGAAATCTAGGCTAACGTGATGAGAGCTTCTCCATAAGGCACTTTGCGCCAGCTGTTCTGGTGCCACCCCCTTCCCTGCTGCAAAGCTCCGGCTTTTAACATCAGCACAAACGCACAATACGAACCTCAACGAGCCGAGAAGCCGCAGACGTTTCTTTGGAGATGTGAAATGTGTCAAACTTCAGCAAGCAGCATTCGACCAGCATGTGCTGGCTGACTGGCTTAGAGCCGGAATGGAGACTCAGCATTCTCGCACGCCCACCCTCCTCGCTTTGTACAACGAGCTGCAAACACCAGTCAGAAGCAAGCGTCTGGGATGCTTTCTGCTGAAACGGAGAAAATCAACTACCTGGGGAGTGAACCCCGGCCTCCCTGGCTGCCGTCCAGGTGCTCTAACAGACCTGGAGTAAGCCACCTAGAAACAAGCTGCTAACTGCTAATCCTAGCAAAACTCAGCTGTTGGAAAACGAGCCCAGCTCTGCTCCCAGAGCAGCCTGGGCCAGCCTCGGGCTCCAGGGAGGCTGGTGCACCCAGCATCAGCCTTTAGGACCTCAGCTGAGGATCACGGTGCAATTTGCTGGGAGCCCTCAGGCTGAGCCAGTGCAGCCCTGCCAGGTGGAGATGGGAAGGGGGCGGGTTCGGGGCCATGGCAGTGGGAGTCCACCCAGACACAAGCTACAGATTGTCTTGGTGCTTGGAGGGCAGATGTCCTCAGTGAAGGGCAGGGAGGTTTTCCCCTCAGCTTCAGCTGCTGCTCTGTCCAGGGTCCAGGCTGATCGCATCCGGGCTGTTGGAAAGCCAGGAAGGTGGGGTGGAGCTGGGAGACGCCTGTATGTTGCTGCATGGCTGGTGAAAGCTTGCTCCCCTTGCGGCCTTGTACAGAAGCTGAAGGGTGAGCCCCCAGGGAGGGGATCTGGATGCCGATTCCCATCACAGCTCGCTGGGTGGAGCATGAGACACAGCTGCAGCATGTCGGCCCTGCCATGCCTGAGAGCCAAGCAGGGTGCCGTGAGTGCAATGGAAGGGCCCTGCCTTTTGCCGTGGCCAGGAGGCGTGCATCCCGCAGGGCTGCTGGCGCGCTCCGTTCCGGGCTGGAGTGTTGAGTCAGTTGCTGGGCAGCGGGAGGGCGATCTGGGCAGTGCTGGGAGAGGCAGGTTGCGCTGAGAGATGGTTCATGCACTGGCTTACGGCGGCACGTTGTGCCGTTGGAGGAGGTGTTACTGGCGTCGGTCGGCAGGGCTCCTGGATGCTCTGAACACTTCGGCTGCATGCTGGGTGGAGCCCTGTCCCTCCCCATCGGGTTTTCTGTGCTGTGGACGAGCTGACTCCAGAGAGGGAAGACAGCGTGTTCTGCGTCCCACGGGTGGCCAGAGCGGGCTTCCTTGTGCCACATCCAGGCTGTGGCTGGTCTGCCCTGGCCTGTGGCATGATGGGCTGCGTGCGTGGGCTGGGAGGCTAGCCGAGAGAGTGTGGTGAGGAGGCCTCAGCCCGTTGCACCAGCCTCTCCGGGCAGCAGGTCCGACGTCTCGGGGAGAACCTCTGCAGACCCATGTTGCCTTGTGAAGCAGGATGCACATGCTGGGCAGATAATTTAACCATGTGCCTCTGTCCCCTTGAAATAAAATTATTCTACTTAACTGCCAGGGGGCAAATTTGTCACGTACACACCCTTAAAAGGGGTTCAGTCACCCGGAGTCCTCCAGGGCTGTGGGTTGGGGCAGGGGGCACCTGTGCTTGCAAAGAGTGCTTTGTCATCGGCGTGTGTGGGAGGAATGCGGGGAGTGGAGGTGGCTCATTGCAGCACCTGGCTTGGCTAGGAAAGCCAGGGTGTGTGGGCTGCTGGGAGCAAACGGCCTTCTGTTCGCCTCCCCGGAGCGTGCCTGGGAAAGGAGCTGAGGTGCTTATTCCTGGTTGCCTGGCATTTCGAGTGCTACCTCTGCAGCTGCTGATTTCCTCACTTACGAATCCTCTGATTTTCCCCCCGTCTCCGAGGCGAGACCTAATCTCAGCTTTCGGCACCAGCCCGGCCTGACCCCCTCCCCACGGCACAGAGCGCGGAGACGCTTCAAGGGATGAGTCCGGGGTTGTAAGTTGTGAATTAGCGGTGCCTGCCCTGCGTGTGTAATTGGAGGAGAATTACTGATGCGCTCGGCCAAGTGCAATTCATGAATTTGTTTAAAGCAGCATAATGCCATGGCAGCCAATTGACCGCGCTCCGCCGGGGCTGGGCCCCTGATTGGCATGCGGGCTTCAAACCGCAGCCACTCCCCGCACTGAGGAGCTTCACCCCCGACCTTTCCTTCCCAGCTGAGAAAAACGTGCATGGTTCTGAATGTACGAGAGTGATGGGAGCCTTTGGCAGGCTGCTGTTTCCGGGTCCCATTGCAGCTCCCCTGGGTGAACCGGGAATAGAGCCTGGTGTTGGCTTAACCCCCAGAGTGCTCTGCCCTTAGCCGCCCGCTTTCCCCCTCACTCCCACCCAGCGCCCACCAGCTCCATAGCTCCTAGGAGGCCCCTGCACCAGAGCTGTGGGGCGAAGAGCTGCTCTCCAGTGGGGCTGTGGGCAAGACGGGGATGGGGAGGGAAGCAGCTGCTCCTTCCTTCCCCTGCCTGGGCTTCTGCTGGGTACAAGGGACCAAGGGATGCTGCAGCTCTCCGCTGCCGGGCGCGCCTCTGGGACCCGCGTTGGGGCCCTGCCTCACGGCTGAGCTGCTGCTGCTCCCATGTGTGATGTTGCATGTTACATACGTGACAGAGAGGCTGTAGCCATGCCCAGTGCAGGGGGGTGTGCGTGGGGCGGACTGCCAGGACTGACCCTCCCTCCCTTCCCCCAGCCTGAGTCCCCAGTGTCTTTGTGTTGCAGAAACATCGCTGAGGCCCTAGTGAGCAAGGGTCTTGCCACAGTCATCCGCTACCGGCAGGACGACGACCAGCGATCCTCGCACTATGACGAGCTGCTGGCCGCGGAGGCACGGTGAGTGGCCAGGAGAGCTGCTGGGTGAAGGCCTGTGGGAGAGCACGCCAGGCTGTGGGGTGTGGGAGAGCGCCACGCAGCGGGGCTGGGGTGTGAGCGCTAAGGACAGGGCGGGGGGAGCAGCTGGGGCGGAGGGGAGGTGAGCTGAGGTGCGGGCACTGGGCATAGACCATGCTTGGGTGTTCTCCATTCTGCTGTGGTGACTGTCCCCGGGCCTGGGAAGGGTCACAGCAGAGCCCCCTGGGACGGGGCAGGCTGTGTGGGCTCAGAGCCGGTTTCAGCACATCCACTTCCACTGTAAACTCACTGCTGCAGCCAGTCGTCGCTCCTCCCCGCCAGCTTCATCACCCCCCCTCCCATACCCACCTCCTCGGGCAGCAAATAGGGGGAGGGGCTTCCTCGCTGAGCTCCCCACCCTGCAGTCCCTGTCCACCCCCTGCTCCGCCCCTTCCCCAGATTGCTGACTGACCGCAGCTCTCAGGGCTGGGGATAGTGAGTCCCCTGTAGCCCCCTCCCCCATCGCCTCCGCTGACCTGTCTGGCTCCACGTTGAGTTCTCGGTTACCCTCCTGCTTTTCCAAGCTCTGCCCCTGCTCCCCAGCTGTGTAACTTGCCCGAGCCGGGGGTGCTGCTCACGCCCCATTCATCTGGAATCCTCCCTTGGCCTCTGAGCCCCCCGCCTCGCCTCTCCGTTCTTTAGCTGCCTCTCTAAGGCTGCGAGTGCTGCAAGCCCCCAGCGCCTTGCATTGCAGAGTGAATGTCTGGTGCTGCAAAGGGCTCTGTAGTGCTGGCAGCGTGCCAGGCGTGCTGTGAGTCAGTGGGTACGGCGTAGTGCATTTGGATTCTCCATGTTAATTCTGGAGCTCCCAACAGGCAGATTAAAGAAGATAACATTTTAAAAATGCCTGGGAGATTGTTTGAATCTTCCGGCCCATTGCATGTATCAAGCTTGAAAAGGTGGTCAGGCTGAGGGGAGTTCAAAGGGCCGAGCTTCGTTCCCTGGGGCCGTGTACACAGCAGAAAGCGTGAGAGCTTCCTGCCCCAGCCTGTCTGCAGGAGCAGTAATTGCATTTAAAGAATATGACATCTGAGCCGATTCAAAGGACTTCCAACACATTCTGCGCTCATGTAATTAGGTTGGGGTTATCTCGGTGAGAGAAATGCAGGCAAGTGTTCCTTTTGCCTGGTGCGTCGTCTGTTCTGTCGGCAGCAGAACGGGCAGGGCGAGCTGCAGCTCTGCAGGAGGCGCCTGTGGCCCAGGGCTCATTCGCCAGCTGCCCTCCCTTCTCTGACTGATGGCAGGCCAGCCCAAGCAGCTCCCCCAGCCTCGGGCGGCTCCGTGAGCCTCCTGGTTTGTATTGCTGCTTCACCCCGGGATCCCAGAGCACTTGGCAAACATGACAAGAGGCCACCTGGTAGGTGTGCAACTGGGGATAGCACCTACCGAATGGGGAAACTGAGGCACGGTGGTCGAGTTACCGGAAGCAGGCAGTCTGTGGTGAAGCCTGGGGCCCAGTTAAACCCCATCAGTTGGAAATGTCCCCCTGAAATCAGTGTGGGCGTGTCCCCTCTGCTGTTTGGGGGGTTCACTCCCACCTGCTTGTGCCTCCTGGTGGTGATGCACTGGGGTGTCCATCGTGCCGCCCCCAGTCTCTGAGTAGAGAGCTGGCGGGTGACTTTGCTTCCAGCCGTACAAGCGTCGGGGTCTTGTCCTTCCACTGAAGGGCCTGGGAGCTGTGGAGCAGGGGGTGAGTGGGGGGAGGTGTTGGAACGGTCGATGGGATCAGTGTTTGAAGAGCAGAAAGGGAAGGGAGAAGCTAGGAAAGGCAAATGAAGACCGGAAGATGCCGATGACTTTTAGGGAGCGGGGGCGTGGGTCTATGCCTTGGAAAGGCTTACTGGCGCTCTGCCGAGCTGTGAGATGGTCCACGTAAAGTCTGGCCAGGATCCATGGTCCCTGCCACTCTGCTAAGGCCCTTAATGGGCCCTGGCGACCAGCAGTGAAGGGGGGAGCAGGAGGGAGCTGGGGAGTGGAGGGAAACGGGCTTGCTTGGGCCAGGTGGACCCTGGTTGGCTTTTCAATGTCATGGGGTCCCTGGCTCCCTGTATGTGGCATACAATCAAAACCTGTTACGAACCTATGGCAGGGCCCAGGTGGTTAGGCTGGAGAGTGTCAGGAAACCCAGGCAGGGAAATTTTGTGGCGATCAAAGGCACTATTAGGAAATCCACAGTGAAGGTCAAACTGAAGCAAACCCCAGCCTCCCCTGGCAATGCCTGGCATTACTGCTGGCCTAGGGAGAACCCGGCAGCTCGGACACTTGGGCTCCTACTCACACACGTGCCAGGTCTGGTGTCTGCACCAGCGGCCAGATTCTCATTGCGCCAAGGCGCCATGTGAAGTAGACACAAATCACATTGACGCCCATGGGAAGGCCCGTGCCACTGCCAGGGCGGTGTGAAGGGGCTGTAGTGTAGACAGCTCGTCGGCACAGCTGGCGCAGGTCTGAGCGACACGCGGCTGGTGGCAGCCCCTGGAGCCGAGCCGAGCCTCCCCGCATGGATAAAGTGTCCAGTGGCTTGGTTGGCTCAGGCCGCCTTTCCAGCAAACCACGGCCCGCCCAGAGAGCCGCTCCAGTTGCTTGCGTAGGCAAATGGAATGCGAAGCCTGCTGGCTATCCATTACACACGTCTCATTAGAGGCGGAGGGAGGTGGTGAGCCTGCCTGTCCACACCACGAAATTGCAGCGCTTGACAAGCACAGAGGTGAAGCGCGTCCCAGTATCAGAGACGTGTGCGTGTGAAACCAGTTATCAACCCAGTGCTCTGAGGCACATGCGGGCTTCTGATCGCGCCCAGCATGCAGAGGATGAAGGGCAGATGGGAGAATGGGGGCGTGGATTAGTACAGTGGCTTTGCCAGAGTCCTTCCAGTCCACAGCCATACTCTGCAGCCTTCTGCCAGCCCCGGGAGCAAGACCCAGAACCGGAAATAATACAACGGGCACAGCCGGACCTGCTTGAAGGAGCAAAGGATGGTGTGGGAGGGGGGGCGCGGGGGCGTGGCTGGCATTGCCCTGGGGCAGAGTTAAGAAGGATGAACAGAACAGGGAGTCTGGTATCCCTCTGGGGGCAGAGTTGACGAGAATGGGGGGGAGGGTCGGGTATTTCTGGGGGCAGAGTTAAGGAGAATGAGGATGGGGGAGGCTGGTATCTCTGGAGCAGAGCAGGTCTAGTAGCGCTAACATCTAAGGCTGCGCTGAGGTTAATCCTTTAGGGTAGGGGTGGGCAAACTTTTTGGCCTGAGGGCCACATCTGGGTGGGGAAATTGTATGCAGGGCCATGAATGTAGGGCAGGGGGTTGGGGTTGGGGTGTGGGAGGGGGCGCGGTGTGCAGGAAGGGGCTGGGGTGCAGGAGGAGTGTGGCGGGGGCTCAGGGCAGGGGGTTGGGGTGCAGCAGGGGGCTGAAGGCAGGGGGTGCAGGAGGGGTTCGGGGTGCGGGCTCTGGCCCAGTGCCACTTACCTTGAGCATCTCTGGGGTGGCAGCAGTGTGCAGCGGGGCTAAGGTAGGCTCCCTGAAGTGCACGCCCCTCCCGGAAGTGGCCACCATGTCCGACAGTGGCTCCTGGGGGTGGGGTGGGGTGGGGCAGGGAGCTCTGCTGCGCTGCCCTCGTCTTGTGGGTACCACCCCTGAAGCTCCCATTGGCCGCAGTTCTAGGTTCCCGGCCAATGGGAGCTGTGGGGGGTGGTGCCTGCGGGTGGGGAGCGGTGCCTGCAGGCGAGAGCAGCACACCGAGCCCACTGCACACCCGTCGCCCAGGGGCCGCAGGCAGGTGGTGCCGGGCGCTTCTGGGAGCGGCGCGGGGCCAGGGCAGGCAGGGAGCCTGCCTTAGCCCCGCTGCACCACAAGGCTGGCAATCCCGCGGGCCGGATTGAAAGCCCTGATGGGCCGGATCCGGCCCGCGGGCCGTAGTTTGCCCGCCCCTGCTCTAGGGACTGTATACTCTCCAGGGGTCCTCGGGATGTTTTGGAGTCAGGCACCGAACCAGCCGGCCCAGCTGCTCCCTGTGCGCTTCCTGGTTGATTATTTCTCTCTGAAGCCTGTTGTCCTTCATGCGCCACCAGTCAGGACTTGGCCTGGCTGCTCAGCCACCTTGTCGATTCCCCTGCAAGATAGAGATGGGGGGAACCCGCTGGGTCCCATACAGCCCTTCTCCCCGGCTACTGCAGCCTCAGCCCCCAGAGTCGTCATCTCAGCGCAGCCTTAGCTCCTAGAGCTAGTGAGCTGTCCCCTCTAGCGTTGTGTGGGAGGAGATCAAACACAGCTTGCCTTGGGAGACTAGTCCAGAGTCTACGGGGAAATCTGATTTGATATTCCCTTTCCTTTCCCTCCAAGTCAGATCCCCTTTCTCTGCACTAAACAATTCCTCTGCTTCCTTGGTGTCCGTCCCTTTAAATACTTGTCTCCTGTTCCCTCTTCTGCACCCTTTGTTGCCCTTAGTCCGCCCTGACCCAAGCTATGCAGAGTTAGCTTTAACCCTACCAGCACAAATTAATCCATCCAGCCCCCTGCTCTCGCCCCCTCGCCCCCGTATTCCAGGTGTGCAGTTTTATGCATCCGTTGGCAGCAGCGGTGAACATGAGCTCACCTGGATGGCATTAAGTGGTGGTGGCAGTATTAGTGTTTGGTTTCTGTTTCTGCTACAGCCATGCTGGCATCCAGAACCCCACGGGCATCTCAGCTGATGTATCCCCATCCCCCTGCTCCAGCCTCTAGATTAGAGGGCACTTGTTTTCCCTGAGGTGTCACCAATTTTAAACATAGGGCCACCAGGGTCTCTGCACAGTGATCTGTAGGTCCCTGGCTGGCTGAGGAAAGGATCACACATCTCTTCTCCTGGGGAAGCTGATTTGAAGGAGGCTCCGAAGAGCAAATACTTGGCTGCTTTCTGGGCCTGCACTTTTCATTTGACCCTATAAAGACAGAGAAATCCACGTTGGTT